TTTTAGTGTGAAGTTTAACTACTGAGTGTTTAATGAGTGTGTTCAAACTCATATTTTATTCTTATACTCTGTGTGTTTAGCATATATTATTCCTATACTCTGTGTATTCATGAACGTGTGCTTTTTCAATGTGCCTACATGAGCAGAGAAGCTGCTCAGGCCGCGCAGGCAAAACCTAGCCAACCGTAACCCACTCAATGGAAGCAAGGCACCTGCTGTAAGTCACGTACGCCAGGCCTGAGATCATCACGAACTGAAGCCAAGAATGAGATCATGACATGTTGTGATTTATGGCGCCTGGTACTGCAGGGTACGGCCAGGTGCTGCATGAAATCAAGCTTTGCGCTGCCGAAACTAAACTTGTATGAGACAAAGCACTCTCATGGTTGGCATTGTTGAATCATGTATTTGTTCACTGAATCACGTTATATATGTATTAGATATGTTATTCCTTATTAATTCTTTTAAAAAATACGATTGTAAGTGTTTAAGTTTTAATGGTGTCAAACTATGCCTGTATAACTTTTAAAAAAATACGGTGGGACTGAAGTTGAAACATATTGGTGGATTTCTAATCCAGTAATATAAAAAATATAAAGAGAGATAAATGGTAACAATAATTACATGTAATAATAGCTAAAAAGTGGAAATTGTAACATTAATGAAAGGGTTAATTTGGTAAAACAGTACAAGAAAAAGGCCACTAGATGGCAGTAGAGGATAGGAAATCCACCAAAGGGGAGGAGTGGTCAGCGAACACCATAGGTGGAGTTAAGGTGTAACACCCACATAGAAGGAGGAGATAAGGAGGAGTTAAGATGTAACGCCCACCTGAAGGGAAGGACAAGGTGGAGCTTAAGGTGAATATAAGGCGATGTTCGCTGACCACCAACTCGGTTCCATCCTGAGACCTGCAGGGATGTTGCTCGGGTTTATCTGTCCTTTATTGGAATAAACTCTTTTGCACCGACTCTTGACCGTCTCCAGTGAAGTTTTTGACTACGCAGTTTTTGACTAAAGAAGAATAGTAATAGAGTAATTTTATTGAGTATATTACGTTGGTTAGGGTAGGGACCAGGTCTTTCACTGGCCCGGCCGGTCCTTATTTCCGACCCGACAATACTGATTTGGGGGTTTTCATTAGTTGTCAGTTATAATCATCAAAATTAAAAAGGAATGAACACTTGAAATATATCAGTCTGTGTGGAATGAATTTATACATTATACAAGTTTCACTTTTTGAATGGAATTACTGAAATAAATCAACTTTTTGATGATATTCTAATTATGACCAGCACCTGTATATTAGATATTTAACGGCAGCAGGCCAACTGATCTGTCATTTATCATAATGCACAAATCCCAACACAACGGTGGATCTACAGTATCAGCCTAATATCGGTTCATACACAGGATTATCGCTGTAGTAAGAAATGCACAGATTACATTTTTCCTGGCTGATTCCAGTTACAGTGATGTAGTGTAAAAGCACTTTGAGTGGTCAAAAAGACTAGAAAGGCGCTATACAAATACGGAGCATTTACGGAGCATTTACTGATTTTTTAAAAGGTCTGACCTGCCGATTCTAATTTTGGCCAATTCCAATTTTATTTCTTTCTAAGAACTATAATTGACAGCATACAAACATTTCTGTAACTATTTATTGGAAAAATCTATTTTTATTAGGATCCCCATCAGCACCAGTATAAATGTTAGCTATTCTCACTGGTCTCAATTGTATGGTCATAATGAAACAAAGATTATAAAATAACATGAGCATTTTCACCGGAAGGAGCTGAAAATAAATTGCACCATTTTAATTCCACTTAATCCTCTAATTGAGTTTGGTTTAATCACACAATACAGTAATCTGCTCACCTTGCTTTTCCCATCAGACACACAAGCACACACCTACACCTGTCTGGCTCTCTCTGTCTGCTCTGATGTTAGTTGTCAGCAGTTTTATTTAAAAGAACTCGCATTTGGTTTTTCACCCGCAATTCCGATTTCACAGCAGCAGATGAGTCACATGTGGAGGTGGATTGTTGTTAATTACCAATTGAGACCACCCTGGTCTGAATGACATCATCACCAACAAGCTGTGTTCACTGTTGCTTTACCTGCTCCCTGCTATCCACAGCATCTGTGTGTTTCTCTCCAGATGTAAATAGTGCACATTCTATCTTCACTCTCGTGAATAACTTCCACACACCTAAACCTAAGATGTGTTTTAGCTGGCTCTGACATGAGGTTACTGTCTGTGCACACGTGAAACACGGCGCAGCATGTTTGTAACGTCCAATGTGACCGGCAGAAAATTGCATATTTGACACTGCTCGCCCCCGGTCACGGGTCGGAGCAAACAGCCCATTTCAGTCCCCAGCTGATCAAGCTGCGCATCTCTAGCTGTAGAAGGTGACTTACAATCCAATAAGTTGTTAAACAAAAATCGGTTATCATACCGTGGCATGTATTAAAAGATCGGTGCTTCAACTTCCCAGGTTTGAAGGTGGCCTGGCACTGCCGAATCTTCACTAGTACTACTGGGCCTGCAATATCAACAAACTTCTTTTCTGGAACACTAAATTGGCACCAGGTGAACAACCACTGGCTCTTCTCGCATTTTACTTAGGTTGGTAGTTTGCTCCCAGTTACCTCTCTCAGTCAAGGCGGTTGCACACAATCCAATTGTGACTAGCACTTTAAAAATTTGGAATCAATTCAGAAAACAGTTTGGCCTACACACCCCATCTGGTCTAGAGCCTGTCTTCGTAACCACATATTCTCACCCTCCTGTTCGTATCCAGTTTTTCAGACTTGGTCACATAGGGGCCTCCAGTCCATCAATGATTTGTACACTAACGGTATCTACTTCATTTGCAGACCTGTCAGTAAAACTCGGCTTGCCAAATAACCGTCTATTCCACATTTTTCAAATTCGGCACTTCATACAAAATTCAATTTCCCCATTTCCCCAAACGCCCCCCAGACTCCATGATGGACTTTTTCCTGACACTTGACACTAACGGAAGGGGGCTCACCTTGGTTATATATAATTATATTTTTAATATACATCCAGTATGTTTGGACTCTCTGAGGGCTGTCTGGGACCAGGACCTCAGGATGACTATGTCGGATGAGCAATGGAGTCACATACTGGACCTCGTACACACTTCCTTGATACGCGCCAGGCACAATCTTCTACAATGTAAGATTTTACATTGGGTCCATTTCACTAATGCAAAACCAGCTAAAATTTTTCCTGAAAGGAGTGATTCGTGTAACAGATGTAGACTGTCACCGGCAGGCTACATACATATGTTCTGGTCATGCCCACAATTAAGTACGTTTTGGTCCACAATATTTGATACTCTTAGTAAGGTCTTGGGAGTAGACCTGGACCCAGATCCCCTTACCACCCTCTTTGGAGTTCACTTGACCCCGACCATTTCCAGAGCTGCACAGCAAATTATCACATTCCACTCCTTAAATGGACGCATTCTTCCCACCGACAACAGATGGATTCAGGAGATACTGCAGTGCATCAAGCTTGAGAGGGTCAGGTTCTGGGGCAACTGTGGCTCAGGAGGTAGAGTGAGTTGCCTGTTAATCGGGAAGGTCAGCAGTTCAATACCCAGGTCCTCCAGTCTGCATGTCAAAGTATCCTTGGGCAAGAAACTTAACCCCGAATTGCCCCTGTTGGCTGTTCCACCAGTGTATGAATGTGTGTTTAGTTTCTGTTTGAGCACTTAGGCTCAGTGAATGAATGTGTGTGAATGGTGAATGCAGATGTAGTATAAAAGCGCTCTGAGTGGTCGAAAAAGACAAATATGGAGCACTTACATTCTCTCTAAGAGGCTCCCTTAACTTTCGTATTTCACAAAACATGGCAACCCTTTTTAGAATATATTGATACTTTGGCTATCACTGAAGAAACTAACAACTGAGCTTATTTCCCCTCCCTCCTCTTTTATTTATCTATTTACTTAATTTGATATTTATTTAATTTTTTATTTATTTATTTATTTTTATTATCTTTCTTTCCCTATCCTTAGCCCCTAGTACTTATTAGCAGGTTATACACCCACAATAATACACAACAAGTATAGAAAACAATGGACAGGACACCTTCCTTATTATTGCTTAACAACATAACAAGAGGTTAAACGTAATTTGCACTGAATTTCTTTATAGTGAGGCAAAATGTAGCTATACCACTACAGTGCCACGGCCTACACAATAGATTACTGCTACAGTTATGAGTAATAATCAGCAGTAAGAGCAGCTAGATTTGTTTTCAGTGTAGAAGTAAAAGTAGACATTCTCTTTCTGTCACCCACATTAATGAAATACACAATTTAGGATTGCGTTGAGTCACAAACCACTAAAGTATTAACAACATCACCGTGACCATAACCAAATGTCACAGCATGTGCAGAGAGTGGTGTCATTTTACTAGCAACAGTGAGCTTCTGTAAATAGACCATCATGCTGTTCCATGTTAAACATGGAGGTTAGTGGACAACAACAAATCCGACCTAAGTGACATAACAGCAGACATGCCATGACAATAAATTTAACCTGAGTGACAAAACAGACAGGCAATGATTCCAAAAGATATTTTTTGAAGATAGATATTGAAATTCTGCATTTAATATTTAAATAACTTATTATCTGGCTACTGAAGAACACAAAATATCAAAACCAGTCATTTTGTTGAAAATTCACAAAAGAATACTAAAAATGAGACTAGTGTAACACTAGTTGTAAACACCAATTCATACACATTATAAATCAGGACAGGATACTAAGTTATCTATTGTGTTGTAAAATATATTATTTCCATGAATGAAAAAATGAAGTTGTTTCTGTTGTCACCAGCAGAAACACCTTCACCACCAAAGATGGAAAGAAACAGGAGAGGACATCGTTATTTGCCAATGCCCTGAAATTCAATATGGTGCCCCGTGATGCATGCGCACAAGCTCACACACTGCAGATATACAAACACACACACAGTGAGCTTAACACACAAAAATATGTTCAAAATTGCATGAGCAATAATATAGACAGACATTTACACACAGCATAGAAAGCACACACAGTTATTCTTGGGAACTTGCATTTACCTCAGCTGGGCATACTTACCTTCACAAGATCTGGAGACAACGGTAAGGACACTAAATGAAACCTTTTAATACTGAAACTTATCTCCACTGTGGATACAGTTTTTGGTAATCTAAAAAAGACAGCAGTAATGTGCTTCTTAACAATCTTTATTATCTGCAGTGCCTCCCACAGAATTTCTCCTAACTGCAGTAACATAGAAGTAACCATGGCAATGCAGTAGATACCTTTAGATATAGATGCCTTAGTGGGCCAATCACTGCTGATTTCACTAATATTTGCTTTCAGTAATACTTACAATGCTTTTCCTAGTGGGGTCAAAGTGAAATGAAGTGATTCATCAGTATTGTTTTTTCATGTTTTGATTCTGTTCATCTCATTGTAACTGTCACACAAACAGCTATCAAATTGTTAATATGATCTATTTCAGGTGACATGACAATATTTGAACCCCTTTTCCTACTTAATGGTAATAAATCACTATCTCTTATTGCACAGTCAATGCCTCATGTCGCATTGGGATTCATTCTTTGAAACTTTTCACTATTGCTCACTTTCTCTACTGGGCCGGGCTACGCATTACCGCTATTTTACTCCAGTGTTTATCCAATTAGAAAATGCCTAATTGTGTAACCTAGGTTTCAGGGGCAGAGGTATTATGGTATGTACACATGGCAGCCTCCAGTAGAGGAATGCATATTAACAGAATACATGTCAAGAGCATCTAATTGAACTACAGATAACTGTGGACATATTATGAGATTTGCTGGCCTTTGTCGTTGATATTGTGTTTATTAATATTTTTTATTTTTTGTTTCAAGAATCAGTAGTGAAATGTTGAATGGATCATCAACACTCCCATCATGTAAACAGATGCATGAGCTATCAGTTATCGCCAATTGGAGGTCGTTAAGATTAACATTTTTGTCTTTTTCTGTTTTGTGGATAGTTTTGGCTTTGCTAGTGCTTATGGTATGTATACAGGGTTTTTTTTAAATTTAAATTTAAAACTTGGACCCAATTTTCCATACTGACGCTGAGTAATGGACAAAAATGTCCAATTGAAACCCATTAAAACACCTTGCAAAGTGGCCAGAACCATTATAACATTATAAACTGACATCTATTCAATCACCAGGTAGCGTCTCGTTTCCATGGTTACTATATATAGAAAGGAAACCTATCCTGCATGCAGTCCCCTAGCACCACAAAACAGCACCGTAGACACTAACACCAAGCTATGAAGTTTGGGGCAGATATGTCCATGTACTGTCCATTTACAAGCTACATCCTTTTTCATGTTTAATAATATTCTGAGCAAAAACCAATAGGTTCCTTGCATGTACTGCGTGTCCTGTTTTGAATCAATACGTAAGCATTTAAACTGACAAAACTATCCAGGTCTGGCACATGTCATGTCTCTACCTCAACTTGCGAGAAGGTGTGTCAAAACAGTGTCTCACCAGTAGGTCAGTCAGTAAGTCCCCTACGCTGGTGATCTTAAGTTCCAGGGTTCAAAGGTAAGGTACATATAATGACACTCTCTGATCTCAAGGTGATGCTGTAAAAATCAAGTTTCCGTTTCCGCTATTATCTCAAAGTCCAAATTCTTTGATCACTTTAATCTCTCAAGTCGTCTGCGTCTGTTCTTCTCTGAAAATGTTAAATGTTGCGTTTTTCACGACTTGCTTGGATCCCGATCATTGCCGCTCGTGGCTATATTTAGGGCCCAAGCATAAAACATGCGAGGTCCCTATTGGAACTGAAGGAATTATTTTTTAGGGATGATTTACCCACTTCATACTATAACAAACTCTTCCTAGGGATTTACTCCAACCAACTTCAGATTTTTTGCTGTCTGCTCTAATCCCATTTCACAATTAAAAGTTGTACAAACGGTGACTTTCCGTGGACCGGCATGCCCATGGCGTGGCGTCAAAAATCGATGATTTGCCACAAAACAGGAATTTGTTATAACTTCCTACTACATAATATCTGTACTAAATTTGCCATGGATAATAAGAGTCCTGCCCTGAATACATCCATATGCCAACATTCGCTCAATAGCATAGCGACACCTGCTGCCAACAGGAAATGAAATGTTTTATGCTATGATGAACTACTCCCAGCAGATTGGCCATGTCAATTTCAAAAATGTCCTAGAAAACCCTTAACACGTTCACGATGCCATGTTGTAAAACTTCTCAGTTAATGGCGTCAAAGTTACATACTTCGTCATGACACAGGAAGTTGTTGTGACTTCACTGTACATGCTGAGACTGTACCAAATTTTACACATTAAAGAAGAGTCGCACCCTGAACACATCTACATGCTAACATTCACCCATAGTCATAGCGCCATCTGCTGGAAACAGGAAGTAACCTTTAATGAAGCAACCCCCACGGCACATTTCACCTACATGTATGAAATTTCACATGTATCATGTCCAGACGTACAAAAAAGCCTCTTGGAGCGATGCCCTAAACCCAACAGGAAGTCGGCCATTTTGAATTATATGGTCATTTTTGAAAGATTTACACACTCCGTACTTTAACAAACTCCTCCTAGGGATGTAGTCCGGCTGACTTCAGATTTTTGCTGTCTAGTCTAATCCCATTGACGAATAAAAGTTGTACAAACGGAAAGTTTTCGTGGAATGGCGTGGCCGTAGCATGGCGTCGAAAATCAATGATTCCTGAACAGGGAGTGGTTGTAACTTAAGTCCGCATGCTCATATCTGCACCAAATTTGGAATGCACAGCCACATGCCAATATTCACTTAAAGTCACAGCGCCACCTGCTGGCAACAGGAATTGACACGTTTTGTGCTGTAATGTACTACTCCTAGCAGGTTGGACATATCAACTTCAAAACTGTCCCAGAAAACCCATAACACATTGATGAAGCCATGTTGCCAACTTGTTAAACTCTAAAGTTAAACTCTTCGCCATTACACAGGAATTTGTTGTAACTTTACTGTATATGCTCACATCTGTACCAGATTTTACACGTTTGATAAGAGTCCTGCTCTGAATACAGACATTCACCCATAGTCATAGCGCCACCTACTGGCAATAGGAAGTGACCTTTAATGAAACAGCCCCCATGGCACATTTTACATTTGTATGACAACAAACAGGAAGTCGGACATTTTAAATTTTATGGTCATTTTTGGATTTTTTACACACTCCATACTTTGACAAACTCTTGCTAGAGAATTAGTCTGACCGACTTCAGATTTTCAATGTCTACTCTAAAGTCATTGACGATTAAAAGTTGTGCAAACGTTGAGTTTTCGTGGAGCAGCGTGGCCATGGCGTGGCATAAGACAGGAAGTTGTTGTAACTACAACATGCTCTACATCTACATGCTCACGTCTGCACCAAACTTGCCCCAAACAAATCTACATGCCAATATTCTGTTATAGTTGTAGCGCCAAGTGCTATGTAGCGCCACGAAGGGGACACAGGAAGTGATGATTAACACCTTTTGTGCAGCGTTTACAGGGACGTAAATCACACTTTTCATGCAGTGACAGTTTCTCCACCTCTCAGTTGCTGTACCTTACGTGACCCATATACAAAACTGCAGCAAAACGGCAACAACACAGAGGAAGACCCATCCACTATTGTTACAGTAATGTTATTTACTGCGGTCTAAAGCCCTGGATGTACTTGCTTTTTAACAATGCATAGGCAGGCGTCGGAAATGGCATTGTTCATATACTTGCCTGTGTAACTTGCGTGTACCTGGAGGATTAAACCTGAATCCACTAGGGGGCAGACCGGGATTGGATCATCCCTCGCCAACACTGGATTACGTTCCTTTACAACCTCCGAATTTGCACATTGTAAACAAATCAAACATAGCAACACTCGAGCAGGTTGTAATTTTAATGAGACATCCTAACGATCTCGATAATTGCAGACTAGCTCCAGGAGTTTTATTGTAAATATCCCTCCATAAATCTTCTTTTTTAGAGAAACAACCATATAAAATCTCATTTATGTCTGACTCTGATCAAAACAAGAGATCTCTAACTGATCTTAAATAAGTCTAATTTAAGTCTCCTGAACATTGGACCATGAGATCAGAGAAAGAGCTCAAAGAAAACTCAGCTATGACTCCTGGGATCTCATGATTCTTCTCAAATATGTCTCAGTTTTCTCATATTGGCCTCAGGAGCAAAAAACTCATCTCTGTCTGACTCTGATCAAAACAAGAGATCTCTAACTGATCTTAAATAAGTCTAATTTAAGTCTCCTGAAAATTGGACCATGAGATCAGAGAAAGAGCTCAAAGAAAACTCAGCAATGACTCCTGGGATCTCATGATTCTTCTCAAATATGTCTCAGTTTTCTCATATTGTCCTCAGGAGCAAAAACTCACCTCTGTCTTACTCTGATCAAAGGATGAGATCTACAGTATCTTAAATAAGTGTAATTTCAGCCTCCAGAATGTGGATCAGAAAAAAAGCTCCAAGATATTTCTCAGTTTTGTCTTAGTGACCCCACTTAGGGGTTATTTTACTCAAGTACTTTACTTACGTCAAATGTTGAGATTGAGTATTTTCTTTTTATGGGGGTTTGTACTTTTACTCCCCTTAATTTCAAATCCTTTTTGTATTTATTGTTAATTATCTGTTACAAGTTACTGAGAAAAATTAAATAAATTTTGAAATTGAAAATTATGCACTTTCAAATGTCATGCTTTCCAATTTGTTAAGGTAGTCACAGCCAACATAACCCAATACTTTGACATGATATTTAGAGATTAATTCATTAAGGACCGAATGCACGCAAGAACTACAACATGATACAACATGTATCTGTCATACAGAATAAGCACTTTTACTTTTGATAAGTACATTCACTATAGAATACTTTTATACTTTTTACTAGAGTAGAATTTTGAGGACCTTAAATGTGGATATGGTTTTTTTCCTCTTTTAAGTAAGTACTCTATTTAAAGACAATAAGTCCTCTGCTATTACTTTTAGCTGCATGGCGCAGTGACAGTGTTGTTGCCCTTTGAACAGCAGGA